ATTAGATTAAACATAACCGTGTCCCTCGGGGGGTCCTTTGGGGGGTACCACGGGAGTATGGAGTACCAGGCCCTTATTAAAGGGCCTGGTACTCCATACTCCCGTGGTACTCCATACCGGTGTCTGAGCCTGGTCCGTTTTGCCGGCAGTAAGTCGGCCTCTTTTCCGGTGAGGGTTGGACTCCGCCAAGGTTGCCCTTTGTCACCGTTTCTGTTCATAACTTTTATGAACAGGATTTCAAGGTGCAACCAAAGTGTTCAGTGGATCTGTTTTGGTGGCCTTAGGATTGCATCTCTGTTATTCACAGATGTTGTGGTTCTGTTGGCTTCATCAGGGCATAATCTACAGCTTTCACTGGAGCAGTACGCAGCCGAGTGTGAAGTGGCCGGGATTAGGATCAGTGCCTCCAAATCCGAGACCATGGTCTTGAGCCGGAAATCGGTAGAGTGCCTTCTCCAGGTTGGGGAGGATATATTGCCCCTAGTGGAGGAGTTTAAGTATCTTGGGATCTTGTTCACGAATGAGGGGAAGATGGAGCGGGAGATCGACAGGCGGATTAGTGCTGCATCTGCTGTGAAGCGGGCACCGTACCGGTCTGCTGTGGTGAAGAGAGAGCTGAGCCAGAAAGCAAAGCTCTTGATTTACCGGTCGATCTAAGTTCCTACTCTCATCTATGGTCATGAGCTTTGGGTCATGACCGAAAGAATGAGATCCTGGATACAAGCGGCTGAAATTAGTTTTCTCCGTAGTGTGTCTGGGCTCTCCCTTAGAGATAGCGTGAGGAGCTCAGTCATCCGGGGAGGACTCAGAGTAGAGCCGCTGCTCCTCCACATCGACAGGAGCCAGTTGAGGTGGCTCGGGCATCTGGTTAGGATGACTCCTGGACGTCTCCCTGGTGAGGTGTTCCAGGCATGTCCCACCGGGAGGAGGCCCAGGGGGAGACCCAGGACACGCTGGAGGGACTATGTTTCTCGGTTGGCCTGGGAGCGCCTTGGGATTCCCCCAGAAGAGCTGGCCCAAGTGGCTGGGGAGAGGGTTGTCTGGACCTACTGAAGCTGCTACCCCTGCGACCCGACCCCGCATAAGGGGAAGAAGATGGATGGATGGATGGATGGATGGATGGATGGATGGATGGATGGATGGATGGATGGATGGATGGATGGATGGATGGATGGATGGATGGATNTGGATGGATGGATGGATGGATGGATGGATGGATGGATGGATGGATGGATTAAACATTACATTTGTCTGTCCATATATCAAGCACTGCTTTATACTTTTTAAGGTGTGTCTTATAAAGTATAGAGCAGTGCTTTATACCTTATTCTGAGTTCGAGGCCCACTCCCACAGACTGCCACTCTAGGTCCCTGAGCAAAGACTCTTAACCCCACTTTGCTCCTCGGGTGCCAAACAATGGCAGCCCACCGCATCCCCAAGGGGATGGGTTAAATGCAGAGAGTTAATTTTGTTGCTCTGTACTTGTGACAATGTAATGACAATAAAGCGCTGGGGAACTTGACAGCATTTTGTAGGAAAGACTTCATTTTCACAAGAAACATAAAGTTGCTTCAAAATCCGAAGATTAGGAGTCACAAGATCTGTTCTAAATAGGGATTAGAGACATTACGCCTGACCTTTCTTGCTTCTCGCTCTTTCTACCGGACCTTTGAACAAACTGCTCGTCGTAGCAACCCAATTTTTATTGCAGAAATATTGAAATAATGATGTCTAGAATCTGGAAACTAAAGAGACCTTGAGATCATACAGAGATAGTAGATAGACAAGGCAGTGCACATTTTTTTGTGTGTTTTCTTTTTTTCTTTGAAAAATCAACCATTCCAAAAAGACTGATATGTTAAAGATGTTGATTATAATCGTGATGAGTCTGGTAATGGCACAGAAAATTTGCACCTGCTGAGGAGAAAATTGGAGATCAATTTTACACGTGGAATTTGATCTTGCAGCAAATTGGGCTCGTAATAGATCACTCTGCAGTTCTCTCACTGGGCAGGTAAGCTGCCCACAATGAGTCTGACTCCACATATAAGTTTTCTGTTCAGTTAAGACACACCTTGTCAGTTGATAGTATTTCATTTTTCTAGCTTAAAATTTTATACTGAATTTGCATAAGAAAAAAAAGAAAAGATATTTGCCTTAACCAGACTTTTTGGTCCTTCTTTGTGTCTTCATTTCGCCTTCCTCTCGTCTACGGTGAGCTGATGTTTAGCTTAACCAAACCGATTCACACTCTGCTCTGCAAAGATCACACAATTGTCTGTGTCACAGTTGGAAAAGACCTGAGAGGATTTTAATTAACTATTTGCACCTGAGATGTTTGTCATTGGATCAGAGAGGAAAATGAAAATCTTATATAATCTGCAATTTTCCTTTGAAAGATTTAGTTTGTGCCTGAAACGAGCAATTCAATATTTATCAAACCAAACAACTGAGCCACCTACAGCTTTATAATGAGACAATTTTTCACATCTTCTTCTAGAGGAATTGCATGATAATGAAAGGTTATTTGCCCCTTTAATTAACTGATTAGTTATTTAACAATGTATAATAGGAAAATTCACCTATTTCATTGTTTTTAAATTCTTCAGCAGATTGTTTTTGAATTATATCAGAAGGCTACGGCCATTTTCCTCTACTTGGATTTAGAAGCATTAGAACAACAGAAGTGGTTGTTCGTAACTTGCCCCCTGGACATAGTAACCATTTTTATTTTGCTGTTATTTTCATTCATTCCGAAAAAGACAGAAAACAAAAAGAAGCTGAATCTGTCTGCAGTTGGTAAAAAAGCTGTCACAGATTGCATGTGGTGAATCATTGTTAGTCATGAATACTTACTTGTGAATGAGTATTTTCCAAATGCTAAGCATCTTGTTCTGTTATTCCCATATAGCTCTTACATAATGATAATCCTCTTTATTGCAAAAAAAAAAAAAGTGAAGTCCAATTAGGTTCTTGAGTACCGGATGTCATTTTCAACCAGATGCTGCAGGATTTTTTGAATTTTTTGGAAATGATTTGATTCCTGATTATAGCTGGAAATGGAAAACACTGTTGTTTTTTTTTAAACAAACAAATGTGCCACTGTTTTTCAAGCCTTCGATACATGCAGTTCAAAGTCTAAAGGAGTAAAAATGTGGGACTGAAGTGGTCAGAGTTTTCGCTGATAAAGCTTTTAACAAACATAACTGACAGAATGATGTTTGGGCCTTCCATTAGATGAGGCCCATCTGTTCAGGAGGTTTCGGTCAAATTAAATATGATTCATTACCTGAAAACATATTACTTGATCCCTACTGTGGATTGATAAAGAAAACTGATAGTTCTTTTAAAATTACTTTAAAGGCCTTACAGTCCACAATCAAAATATAGTTTACTAAGAAATGGAACATGCTGTTTTACGATAAAAAAAGAAGCATAAGACCAGAACACAGATGTGCAGGAGGCAGGATCTGGATTCAAACTGATTAGTTTAAAGATAAATCCTAGGATAAACAACTTAAAACTTTCTTTCAGTAGTATAGATTTTCTTGGCACCCTTCTTTAGGGTCACATTTATTAAAATTTGCCTCTAATATTGAATATTTGCAGACATATCATAGCATTGCTGTCTGAGTACTTGCTTGGCAGTAGTCAATAAGAAAGCAACGTATGTGTGGCAGTCTAAGAGAAGGAAAGACACAGTCATAAAAACAATTAGAGTGAGAAAAATTGAGATTGTGGAAATAAATGCAAATAAGACATTAGTATTTATAGTGAGATTAGGCGAAGCTTGGACCAATAAGTATAAAATAATGCATTTAAACATGTCTGTATCTGTATGAGATATTTATTTTTCCTTCTGCTTTAATCCTCTAAGCTATTCAAACTGACATTTTATCTTCTAATAACCAAAACTAAACCATTAACCATGCCTTTTTGTGGTACTTTCTGGTGACACATCACATGCTTGTCATAGCAGCGTATTAATAAAACAACATCCTAGGCATGCCGTATGAAACTTATTTGCCAGAGGATAGGAATTAATGCTAATTCAAATCTCTGCAAATTAAAAATAATTTTTGAGGTAATGCTCTGCATAGCCTCCCATGGAGAGATGTATTACTGTGTTAATTCCTGTGGTTGTCATTTTAACCGGTTCTACATCTTGAGTCGTGCATCTCTGCAGCTCCTCCAGAGGAGGCGTGTTGGCTACTGTTTTATTTTTAATCTTTGCTTTGATTTATGCTTAAACTAATGCATTTTCAAATGACATGATGTGAGATACTCAGAATTGAGATAGTGTTTTATAACCCTACCCCAAACAAAACTTTCCTTTATTCAGCTGTGCTGTTTGAACTCTGATTTTCCCAAAAATTCTCTGAGGATTTCAAAGACTAGCTGAGTTTATTCTGAAAATAGGTGAATGATTTGCACATAAATCTTTACAAGTTGCAACAAGGGTCCTGTTTCTTACTTTACAAACACCCCATATCCCTTCTTATTCTATGGCAAGAAGCGATACATTTAAAATTTGGACTACGGAACATATCAGAAGATAGGTTGTGAGTAAGTAATAGGGAAAACAGACATATAAAGGGAGAGAACTACTATAAGAGATAAAATACTTAAGAAAACAATACCTAAAAAAGATATTTCTAAACACACAAAATACCCTAAAACCATGGCAAACTATTTATTGCAAGATTGTGATTTTAATAGGAAGGATATGGGTGGTTTCATCATTCTGGTGGTAAAATCCCATTACCAGTTTTGTTCTCCACAGTTCACCAGTGTGGCTTTAACTCTTAAATAAATAATACTAATATATTATGTTAATTTAAAAGTGTTTGTTTTTAAAATGCAAAATCTGTCACATTATGTTTGATCTGAATTTAGATGCCTAAATTTAGGTCAAATTCTGCGGTTTGAAATTTTTCCTGTAAATTTGTTTCTTTTCATAAAACAATTAAGCCTACTGTTCTTCCTTTTCTGCTTGTAGCAAGAAAACTAAAGAAGATTGGACAACAGAAGAGCCCAGAAGAAGATCATCCTGTACAGGAAGCAGCAGAAGTACCTCCCAACATGTCTCCTAAATCAGGTCCGAACATGAACTCCCAGATGGTCTTCCTGAACATCCTTGAGTCCATTGAGCCTGAGGTGGTTAACGCCGGACATGACTGCGGCCAACCAGACTCAGCTGCTGGCTTGCTCACCAGCCTGAATGAACTGGGGGAGAGACAGCTGGTCAAAGTGGTCAAATGGGCTAAGGGATTACCAGGTAGGACACAATTATTTATACAGTGATTGTTATGTGGTTACCGGTAATTGTTACCCTTGGACAAAGTTCTTTACCCAGGGGGTATTACTGAAATTATTGACATTTGGCTTTGTGTTTTTTTAATGATCACTAAGACTGATTAACACCACAGCTGGGAATCATGAAAGACATTTTTTTTTAAAGATCCATGTAGTAATCTGTGTATATTTACTCTTGGACATTTAATTCCTCAGTCTCCTCTCATTCTTCCTCTCATAATCCCTCTTCATTAATCACATTTCTAAAGCTTCCCTCTTACACACTGCAAAAAAAATTTTTTTTTCTTTTAAATAAGCAAATTTTTTTTCTTGAATTGAGACAATTTGCCAATAAGATAAAACAATTTACACCTAAAAAAATAAATAAAACATCTTCAGTCCCTTATTTCAAACACATAAC